TAGTGCGGACGGGCAGGGGGAGCGATCAATGGAGCGGCTTCCAGATGGGCGGGAGCGAGCGAGCGACAGGGCCAGGGCAGGCGTTCCAGAACTTACTTTCGGGTCCGGTGACCAACCGGTTCGTGAGAACCGGTGCGGACCGGCAGCAACCCACCACTGCCATGAAATTAAAAGATGCTTGCTCCTTGGGAGGAAAGCTATGGCAAACCTAGACAGCATATTAAAAAGCAGAAACATCACCTTGGCATCAAAGGTCCATATAATCAAAGCTATGGTTTTTCCTGTAGTAATGTATGGCTGTGAGAGTTGGACCATAAGGAAGGCTGAGCTCTGAAGAATTGATGCTTTCGAATTGTGGCGTTGGAGAAGACTCTTGAGAGTCCCTTGGACTGCAAGGAGATCAAGTCAGCCAGTCCTAAAGGAAATCAACCCTGATGGTTCTTTGGAACAACAGATACTGAAGTTGAAGCTCAAATACTTTGGCCACCTAATGAGAAGAGGACTCATTGGAAAAGACCCTGGTTTTGGGAAAGATTGAAGGCAAAAGGAGAAGGGGATGGCAGAGGATGAGGTGGTTAGATAGTGTCATCATCACAATGAACATGAAGTTGGGCAAACTATGGAAGACAGTGGAAGACAGTTATGGTCCATGGGGTTGTGAAGACTCAGACACAACTTAGTAACTGAACAACAACAACAATAAGATTGAATGGGGGTGGGAGGAGCCAACGTCATGACAATACAACATGCGGTCTCGACAGTCTGAGACCGCCGTTGACACTTTTGCCACTGGATGGTCCAGTTGGACCTAAANCAAAGGACCCCACAGTCCTCTCCCTCCTTATCTTTTTCCTTTTTGTCCTATCTTTCTCCTCCTTCCCCCCCAACCCCACTTCCTTCTAGCACTGATGATGTTACCTAGTTTGGTAATGAAATGTCTGTAAGAAAACCACTAAGCTCAGAAAGCAGCAAGGATGTTGATATGAATCACATTTAGCTATACTTCCTTTTATTATACTTTATTTTCTTAAATTGTACCTTAGCTTAATGTTTCATTCCTGGTTTCTATGCAATGTTGCTTACTTTGAAAGGGAATGATAATATGCATAGGCATCTCTTCATTTTATACTTTTATAGCATTGACTCTTCACATTTTTTTTAAATCTGTTCTTATGGTCTTTCAAGCTGAACTAATGTCAGAACTAATGTGACACTACAAAACAGAGTCTTTGCTGCCATCTAATAGTTGTCCAGATTTTTGCCATCCAGAAATGGTAACTGGATTGGCATTTTGGATCTGCCGGAAGATGGAAATTTCTTTACTTTCACAGAAGGAATCCTAGGAGAAGCAAAGGACCATGTACACAACCCCCTAAGAAAGTTTACATTTGTCTTCTTTAATAAAGAGGAAGTGCCATACATTATCTCCTGCATAATTCTAAAAGCTGCAAAATCCTTAGAGGAGATTTTTCTTTGTAATAAAAAGAAATATGTACTATGCTTCTGAAAATTTTTAGACTGTGTATTAGAAAGTTTTGTTTTGTTTGTTTTTAGTCCCTAACAGTGACAGAAAAAAATGAGAGTTCATTGAGGCTCCTGAAAATAGATGTTTTCCTGTTAATAGCTACAGCTATTAAAAAAAATACAGAAGGAGCGCACAGGGCAAAAATCCTCTTTCTTGAACATTTTTAATCTGTAGGAAAGATATTTCTGTCTTCATTTTTTTCTTATAAGAATTGAAAGCATAAATAGGGCCCCACCCCCAACCACTAAAAGCTGCAATACTTTTCTGGGGAACAAAGACATATGAGCCATAATGGGACACATTAGTTCAAACTGTTGAAATAAATCATTTAGAGAATTGCAATCTGTATTGAGAAAAATGAGTAGGAAGATTTATCCTTTCTGGTTGGATGAAGTCTACATGATTCCTATTGGACTGCAGTATTGTAAAGTAACAAAGGACCTATATCAGAAATATAAATTTAAAAGTCAACCTCCATCTTCCCCTATGGTATGTCATATGTAAGTGAAAAGGTGAATTCCAAAAACTTTTCACTTTAACTAATTCTGTTTCCCCAAACTTTAAAGAAAAAAAACCAGGGATAAGCATGCATCCCAGATCAGATTTCCAAGGCTATGGGGTAAAATGCAATTTTAAACTCCCTTTTTTTCATCAGGATCCTTCACGTATGCTGGATGTCTAATTCCCATGATTGCCAGCTGATATCACCATTAGCCATGCTAGGTGGAAATTGAGTAACCTGGATTCCAGAATATTTGCAGAGTACCAGATTGTGGGGTATTGAATTTCTGGATATATCATTGCCTGTCTAAGTTTAATTCGTTTTTAGAATTATTTTAATTTCTAGGAAGAACTACAGTTTTGAAGAATAATTGGAGAAGGATTGAGTGAATCAGCTTCATTGACCCCAAATTTTTATTGCCAATATAATCCTTTAGGCTGAAATGAGAAATGTTTCTTAATGAATAATCAGCAAGGGAAATAAGTCCCCACTTGCAAATTTGTGATATGTCAATACTTTTGATTTACTATAGCAATAAACTACTTACACTATGCCTATGATTAATTGATATAACGATGGTTTAAGACAGGTACTGCAAAAGCATTGTACCATACCAAGTAGTTTGGTAAGAAACTGGAAATAAATTATTATGGTTAAGGCAGTGAAGTATTTCATTAGTATCTTGGTAATCATGCCCTATATGTCTGATACAAATTTTGATCAAATAAAATGAACATAACCCTATTCAGCCCCTAAAAGAAGATACATTTAGGCTCAAAATTTTCATCACTGGAAATAACTGAATAGATACAAAAGTAGCTTTCTGCGATTTAAAGAAGAATGAGTAAAAAATTACCAGCTAATTAATTATGATTGTGAGGTATTGAATGTCAGACCTGAGTTATCTTTCTGCACAGCTTAATTTGGAGCATTCTGTCAAAATGGATCAAGTATAGATAATCTCCAAGAAAAAGCATTTTGTCATAAATAGTTGAAATTTTTTTTAAAAAAACCTTAGAAGAAAAAGCTAACAGCTAATGAAATGGAAAGTGATTTGCATTCTTTATGTTAACTCTGATCCTTGAATCTAATAGGACCACATTAGAGACAGGGAAAACCTTAGCATGAAAGGTATTAAGAATATTGATATGTGGGTTCCTATATTATGCCTCACCGTCAAGGGATTTGTTTGGACCTGACTTAGTATACTGTGAAAATATGGCCAATGTATTTTATAAATTAACTATGGTTCATGATTTAATGTACATTTGTACATCCAAATGGTAATTTAACAAATAAACTATGTTTAAGTAAATCATGACATATGTATGTGCAAAGCAGTTCATCGGATACGTCTTATATCAGACAAAAGTTTTGTGTGATTGACTTACTGGGACTGCAGTGTCATGTTAGCCTGTTGTTTTACTTCACTAGATGCATAGCAGAGTGGCTAGATGGTTGTAGCTTTTAAATTGAATTTAAATGGGGCAGGAGGAAGGGGAGGAGAAAACAGGTTATGCAGATGGTTTAATGCAGTGTTTTTCAACCTTGGGGACTTTAAGTCCTGTGGACTTCAATTCCCAGAATTCCCCAGCCAGCTATGCTGGCTGGGGGATTCTGGGAGTTGAAGTCCATAGGACTTAAAGTCCCCAAGGTTGAAAAACACTGGTTTAATGTACATTTGTACATCCCAATAGTAATTTAACAAATAAACTATGTTTAAGTAAATCATGACATATGTATGTGCAAAACAGTTCATCGGATATGTCTTATATCAGACTTTAAATGTTAAGACAGATTACTAGTATTCTATCAATTAATAGTTGCTTGAAATTTTTGTAGGTATGTGGATGCAGGAATCTCTCATTCAGGACTCCTTTTAACCCCCCCCCCCCAATAACAGTCACTTTGAAGCTTGCCACAAAATGTCCTGAGAGATTGAAATGCTGTTATTACTTCGTTCTTGTGCCTTGATGTCAAACTTGTATCCATTAATTATTTTGCACAAAGCTCCTCCTATCCAGAGGACTTGGTCAGCAGATGATGGCATATATCACATTAGAACAAAATATGTGAAAGTACCTCTAATGACATTTATATTTTTCTTAGAAGCCTGTCTTGGTACTTAGTGTAGGGCAACATAGACATCTGGGCTTATTTCAGGTTTATCATAATTGTAATTTTGTTTCTTATTGTTATCTTACAAGAATCTACTTCCATGGATGTTTATATGCAACTATGAGCTGGCCACCCAGTATTTGAGAAAGTTCAGTATCATTGTCCAATATTAGTACCCTCTACTGGTCATTGTGAAGGTTTTGTCCTCAGAGGTAAGTCTGGAAGTGCTATTTTCCCCCTGTAAAGGCACATATTATTCTAAAAATTAAAATATTCTCTGTAGTAAAATTTGTTCCAACAGCAGCCTTTATCATTATGCTTATAATGGCTGTAGGTTACATAAAGAAATGTGCCCCCCCCCCTGCCAATGGCTTAATGTCTTCCATTTCAATCCAGCTAAACTTGCTTAAAAATGTTGTAACTGGGCTGTTACTTGCAATGCCTTTAAAAAAAAATGCCCACACACATTTCCAAAAATATTTTCTGCACAATACTTTCAAAAATGGTATATGCTGTTCTATAGCTTCTGACAAGCAGTTGATTCACCCACCAATTAACATTTGGGTTCTAAGAAAATAGTTATATTTTTAAAAAGCCTACTTCCTACAAAAAATCCAAAAACTTGTCCCATATAATTCAAATGCTATAATAGTTATAAAGTGGAATTATCATGGAAAGGAGAAAAAGACCAAAACTTAGATGGATTTTACATTTTGACAATAAGGTTTAATATAACTAGGAAACAAAACATAACAATACAAGAATTGCTAGAAAGAGGAAACAGAATATCTAATTTGTGTGTCCTTGTGTTCTGAAGAACGTTGCGTGTTTCTGTTGTAATCCAAAGACTAGAATTTATTTAATGTCACACAGAAGAGCTACTCCTCTCAGTATCCAATGATCAGGAGATACAGTTGTTCTTAGGTAGATTGCAGTGATATAGGTCAAATCTGTTCTTCTTGGCTTTTTATAAATGGGACAAACGTAGAGTTTAGGATCTCTTGGGCCTGTTGTGTTAATTGCAAATATATGTACAACAGGAAGTAAAGTGAAAAGAATCTTTGCTGTAGATTCAGTAAGCTTATTATTACGTCTATCCCAGCCAGCTCCATCCAAGTATAATCCATAGATATAAACCCCTTCCTATATAAAAAGAATGTATATTATTATGGTTAGAAAATTATCAGCTTTTAATATTATAACATAGCTTGACTGATTTAACCTGTGTGGTATAAATTATAGCATAATTAGCAAAATGAAAAAAAATACTAGCAAAATTTGAGAAAGTAAAACAGTCTATAATGTTTCTAAGTGATAATGAATAATGTAACATATATTTGTGTTTACTGAAAATAATTGAAATACCTTTTGGGCTGTGAGATTTAAAGGAGATTTCTATTTTATGGTCTATCTACCTTTCTGTCTGGGCATGGTCTCAACCTGTATATTCTCTAATTCCCTAAGAATGCAATAAGAAAAATGCCTTGAAGAATCCTACATTTCCTGCAAAGCCGCCACCCCCACCCCGCCCTCAGATGACAGAAGCAAATAAACCTAGAGAAGTTTTTGTTACAGTGATGTCATCATCCTCTATCTCTCTCCTCCATATTTGCTACTTTGGTAATGGAAGGTAGGAAAGGAGTATGTCAGAGCTACATAAGTGAAAAACAAATGTGCTTTCTTTCTCTTATTGGTCATTTCATTGTTGAAAAATCTAAAATGAATACAAACCAAGCATTTTTTTTAAAAAAAAATCAGGTTAGAATGATCAAACACAGAATTAGTTTGGAAATTAATGCAAAAAAGGATGTATCCATGGTATACTTACAGGGGGGGGTGCAGTGATCTCTTCTTTGACCTGTTTCAGCACTTCATTATGGATGGTCACTGTATCCAAAGCCCAGCCTTTATGTGCTCTTGTAACCTCTTGTCTCATAGCTGTTAGAAAGCCTGTAAAATGGGCCAAAGAATAAGACAGGTTTAATACAACCTTTTTCTTACATATATATATATATTTATACTGTAGTGTTTTATGCTAAAACGTTCACATAAAAAAGAACCACTAAAATAATCAGTAAAATTACCTAATACAAAAAATAAGAAAATACAATTATAAATATGCTTCTGATCTGGTCTGGTCTGGTCTGGTCTATATGTAGACTAAGGCCCTGGATTGTATTTTACATCTGGAGAAGCATAATGCTTTTAAACTGGGAGCTGAATTTGGTCAAAGAAAGAAATAGAGCAATAAACCTTTAGAAGAACTATACAGGTCATCAATTCATCACAAGAGTCATCAAACTATTGATGAATACCAAATAGCTTCAGTTTTCTGGCTTATATTATCCTTCCCCCCCAAAAAATCTGTAAATGTCTGTTGTGAATAAAACAAAGGAGCCAATAATGGGTGGATAATCCTCTAATCATGACCAGGATAAGAATTTCAAAGGCAATCCTTAAAAGAACATTGAATTTTCTAAATCACTTTATGAAATGCAGAATTTTGTTCACTTGATACAATTAATTTGTATCAGATAAGTTTTCATTTAGTTATTTCAAATTGTAATAAAATTCTATATAAAAATGGAAAAATCCTTGATAACTGTGCCTGCATATTGACTTTCACCTATCTGAAACCAGCTTGTACATGTTAAAAGTTTTAGAAAAAACTGTATATATTTAATATGTATGGCTTAAATGATGCTATATTCACTGTTTTCCTTAAATAATCAAATAAAGAGAAATATGACTTTCACAAGAATCTTAACAGAAATCCTGAACAGTAATATATACTGTAATTTATCACCATGCAATTGAAAAAAGTTATCTATATCTATCTATCTATCTATCTATCTATCTATCTATCTATCTATCTATCTATCTATCTATCTATCTATCTATCTATTTATTTTAGATTTCTGCCTCTCCTTCCATATGAATGTGATAGAATAAATCAAATGAAATGGAAAAGTTATGCTTTTTAATAGTCTAATATGGCTTCACTCTTGTAACATAACATATTGTTGATTTTATTTATAATGATTGATATTTACCCTGAGGATTAAAAAATCCAGTCATCCAAAATACATGTGGTCTTCCTTCAAAGATCCAAACACGGAATTGGGAATTTCTTTCTAAAAGTTCAGTAAACCAGAAACCCAGGGTAGAAGAATCCCATGATACACGCTTCCAGAGCTGAGGAATTCGAGCATCGTACATGTTATCAAGAGCGTCTCTTAGGTTCTGAAGAAGTGAAAGATAAGACATGTCATGGTGTATTTGAATAGAAAATGTCTTTATTTCAGAATGAATGATGATTATACATAATACTGTACTTGGTTACCTCACTCATAATAATAGTTCCTTCTATGGCTAGTTTAAGGTCAACAAGGCTGTTTCGGACTATTTTGATAACTTTTTGCATTCGGTCAATTTCTTGGCGAAGAAAAATGTTCATAGAATTAAGATGGCCCATTTTAATCAAACGAGCTTTTACCTAAATAAAAATCATTAAAAGAAAACAAGTCAATCAACGAAGTATTTAGGATAGCTTTATGCTAAATAAAGAATACTAGTTGATAACCTGATGGAGACTAGATATTTATTTATAGGGGGAAAACCGCTGGACCAAACATAATTTCTAATGTTGGATTTTTCCCCCATACCAGAGGATGCCCCCTTGTGGCATACTGTGGGGCTTGTTACCATGGCAACTCCACTGTGCTGTACAGTAGAAGCCATTTTAAAGCACAACAGGCTGTATCTTAACAGAACACAAATCCCAAGGGGTTTGGGGGTGTCTTACCCCTCCCCTATTATTTGTTTCCAGAGAGTAAGTTTTCTGTGTACCAAGTTTGGTTGAAATTGTTCTAGGCTTTCCAGAGTTATGCTGAAACATACATATACACACAGCCATTTTAGATGATAGATAGATAGATAGATAGATAGATAGATAGATAGATAGATAGATAGATAGATAAATTGATTGATTTAGGAAACAGTATTCCTATTTTTAGTGCTATAGGATCACCCTGTATGTTCATGTGCACCAGCACTATAGGGTGTATTATCCTTACAATAGGCTGGCTTAAACAAACTTTAGATATTGGTTTGATGGTCTATTGTAAAAATATGCACAGGAAATCATGTGAATATTTGAGAATAAAAACAGTAGATTATGAAAAGTAAATTTAAAAGTTCAATCCAGAAATTGATCATGTTTTACTGATAGAGGAAAATATTAGTAGCCAAGGGTTGAAATGAAGTGCTCTGATGATATTACTAGTTTGGGTAATGAAAAATCTGCAAAAAAACAACCAAGTTCAGAGAGCACCAAGGACCTCCGATGATGCTTTTGTTTTAGAAAAAAGAAAGAAGTATTATAATGCTATTGCAAAACCAAATGTATCCTTAGAACTCTAGTATTCTTGTATGTGTTAAAATAGTTATAGTGGATTAATTTCATGAAGAAACTCTATGCAGCCACCATGAATTCTAATGGAGAATATCTGTGAGCAGCTCTCAGTGCCTTAAATCACTAGACATTATGATAATCTAAGGTCAGATATACAATGAAAATGACTATCCAGTTAGTGGAAAGCAATTCAATTATTGCATTCTTTCATTTATTTAAGATTTGTAAGCCATTGTTGCAGACAATGAAGATAACAATTTGAGAAATAAGTGCAGTAACTAACACCAGTAAATATATACTACATTTAATAAAGCTTTTATGTTTTATTCCTTAAATTACAAATTTGTATTAAGTTTTTTATTTTTATTTTATATGTGTATACATATCAATGCGTGAATGGTGTGATACCTGAGTAGCCCTCTTATTTCTATCTCTGTTTTAACATTTCCCCCCCTCCATCATTATTATGTTCAAAGATGTGATAATAACATTTCATTTCTGTTTTCCATCCTCCATCTGTTTTGTTATTCGTGTTTCTATTATTTACCTTTTCACATCTGTTTATATTAAATTTCCATCTTTTCTTTCATTATTCAATATCTCAATATACATTTCTGGTACCAATAACAATGATTTAAAGCATTTAAAATATATGTATTTCATTTTTTATAATACCATCATTCAAACCTTAATTTTCAATTAAAACTTAATTCTTATTCATACATATATTCATGTCCTTTCCAATCCTCTAGTCCATATAATTCTACTATTAATAATCATGTTGACATTAAAATATATTCTTTCATTATCTAATTACCTTTTGTTTAATTCTAGCATTTCACTACTACTCATATACTTATATAATTCTAATATCACACATTATTGAACCACTTTCATGAAATATTTTTTACTTTATTTTCCCTCTCATTTTTCCTTATCTAACATCTCTTGCCCCCATCCAAATGTTTAGTCTTCTTTTTTGGGGGGGTGTTGCCCCCCATATTCTTCTTTTAGATCTTTTAAGCCTTTTAATTCATCTGCCTCTAAATCTATAATTTGACAATACATTCTGGCTTTCTCTCCCCTCTCCATCTTTGCCCACTGTATAGTTTTAAAGCTATTTGTTCTAACTCTGTCTCTTTCCCCAACTATCTTCCTGTTTCTTCCATTCCCTTTTCAAATCTTTTAAGATATTTTCCTCCTGTTTTAATTCCCTATTAATTTTAACATTATCTCCTCATTGTTGTCTTCTTGTTGCTTTCTTGGTTCTGCTGTCTCCTCCACTTCTTCTGATAGTCCATTCTTTCCTCATTGTCCTGGTCTTTATTCGTTGTTCCTTGTATTATATTTTCCCAGTTTTGGTCTATACGATCAAATATTTGCATCATCTCCTTATGTTGTTCATATATAAGATCCTTAATGTTTGATACATCAGCTCTATTCTGTTATCTCCACTTAATTCCATCTTGCGTTACGTTTTTGCTTAACAAGTCTCCTTTTGAGTCAATTGTTTAGAAATTTTTAAAATCACAATTTTAACTGTCAAATCAACAAGTAGTCAATCCAATTTAGAAAGAAAACCAAGGGGTTATCCACATCTCTTGCAATCACTTTTATTTGTTCAACAATATTTAATGGTCTCTTGGCTAAATTTCTTATTTGATATATAAATCTCCAATGGTTTTAAAGTAAATACTTGCAATCCAACAAATATAAATGATTATTCCCAGGGTTGCACAGTTCTCCTTTTAGCAGCAGATGGTGCTCTAGTTTAAACTTGCCACAGGCTCTCTGTGTTATTGCTGACAATTTCGATTTTAATTATTTTAAATTGTAAATCCAATAAGTGGGCTAACTTAATAAAAAAAGCTAGGGATCTAATTCCAGCATTAACAATGCCTCTTCGATACCACATCTTTTACTTTGAGAGTTCAATTTTCTTTTTCTTATTTTTTTAAAATTCTGTTCTTAATTCCTCCGGTATTTTTTTTAACGCGCTTATCTGCTGCTGGCAAATCGTTCTAATTATGTTTCCCCCTTAGATTCATTGGGGTCATTTTTCAATAAAATGTGGGTGTTGGTTCTTACTTGATACGCCCCTTCTCTGGGCAGGTGGAGACAGCGATCATGCATGGGTTAACTCAGTCAGTAACCAATAGAAGTGAGTCTATCAAAGTGATGTCATCGCCTCTGAGGAGCATGCTCCCGCATTTTTAGACTCAGTTCAATTGGAACTGGCTGTGCTAATCGCTTTCTCCTCAACTATTTCTTAACAATTGAATAGTTTAATTGAATTTAATTGGATTTCTCAAAATAACAAAGGAAATTGGTCTTTCTAAATTGATTCTCTGGTCTGGGCTCCTGTAAGGTCTCTCAATAGCCTTTGGGGCTGGAGAGTGCTTATCGCGCCTAATTGCAGGCTTGCCTGTGAAAGCCTCGGGCTTCTGCGGCTTCGTATTTCAGCAGAACCAGCAGAACCAGCTGAAATAGTCATGGAGGCTCTAATCTCCTCAGCAGGGAAATTCCAGGCCCCTGCCTTGCCGCCGGCACCACTAATTGCCACCTCCACCTCCAGGAGCCTCTGAACGCTATGGGGAGCCTCATTACGGCCGCAAAGAGCCGCCTGTCACTGAAAGAACAATGTGACTGCCTCTGCGCCTCCCTATCATTGTTCTGGCATTGCTCTACATGTCCGCTTTTTCCCTGGCTCCTAGGCCTCTCCGCAGGGCCCACTCTCACTGCAAGGCCTCGGTTACCTCATGGCGCCGGCCCCATAGGCTCTGTAGCCTCAGTGGCCATTAAATTTGGTGCGAAGGTCATTTTGAGTCAAGGAAATGCTCCAGAACAGTCTTAGGTGTTCAGACCATCCCCAGCTTCATGGAAGACATGTTTGCTGCTGTTTCTCCTAGTCTTCAGATGAGGGGGCTTTTTTAGTCAGGGAGGAGAGATGCGGCTCTCATCAACCTGTCAGGCAGTCCCCCTTTACTTCACCACCTCTCCAGGGTGGCTATGGCTCAATTTGAGCCCTCCGATGAGGAGAGGTTGGAGCCGGGCTGCAGAGCTTGCAGTCCTCACTTCTGAAGGCGCCGGAAGTACAACTGGAAGTCTGAGAAATTACAATTTTAATATTTGCTTCATTGTTTCATATCTTTTCTGGGTGAATATGGAATCTTTTGTCATTGCTCTTGAACTTCTCATTGGAGTTTTAAAAGGCAGCACAGATATGCCAATATTTACAGCATCTTGACTATAAATATGAAAATTATTCATTAATATACCTAGTTGCTTGCAGTTATTACAATCTAGGGATGCACATGACTTTTCATGTGAAATATGGAAACAAGGGAAATATTCTCATTGGTAAATTATTAGCTAATAATTTTTCCTTAAGCCAGAATCATCAGATACATATACAGCTAAATTCATATTTTAACATCATGAAGGGACTCATTTCCTTCTTATGTAGCACCTGAGGATTTCTTCTACCAGCAGGTTTAGAGTCTGTGTAAAGCAAGATGGGTGCATTTCAAAACAAATTATTCTCTACAAAATAAAAGTCCTATTTGGGTCCATTGGAAGCAGAGAGTTATAAAGCAGGACAAAGCATTTCATATTCCATCCATCCATCCATCCATCCATCCATCCATCCATCCATCCATCCATCCATCCATCCATCCATCCATTCATCCATCTGTCCGTCCATCCGTAGAATTCTCTTCATTCTAATTTAATTTGTTGATATTATTATGTAATGACATCTTTTTAGTGGTGGTGGGAGACAGGAACACCTCAGGAAGACATCCCTTTTTTAAAATTAAAAA